GGGGGCTTTGTGCCAGCTGTCATGACGATGGATGAATGTGTCCGAATCATGCACATGTCTTCGCCCCCTGGCTATGTGGTGCACTGGCGGCGTGCCAGCGTAGGATTCCGTAAAGTAAGGTTTTGTGCGCTCGCGAGCCGACATAAATAGTGACGTAATTTTAATGGCACGTGATAGCAGGCCGGATTTAACCATGCCACGTCCACACCCATCTGCCTAGGTACGCGCGCGCCCACGTGAGTTTCTGCATGTGCGCGCTAAAATGGTTCCCTGTGGCAGTCATGGACGCGTTTATACCGTTGTCGACATGGCCTTGATTCACCCAGCAAAATACCCTTGCTCTTGTGTTGCTAGTTGCCCCAAGGGCAAACTGCAGTTATTTACCTTCACATTCTGATAGTAGCGGTTGAAATTCCTAAAATTTCCCTACTCAATCTGGTTTCGCGACCTTATCGTTTTTATGTAGCGTTCTTATTTACCTTCGCTTCTTCTGTATTGATTGATTTTTTTCCGTGTTCGGAATTGGAGACTCATTTGAGATATCCTTTCAATGTGGTTTATATCTTCCTTCTTCCATCCTTCTTCGCTACTTGATTGTTAATGGCAAATTGCCTACATGTAAGCAAGCACCGCTCGTAAGTCAGGTGGCTTCGTGCTAAATTCCGATGAACTTGAGTTGAAGATTAAGGAGTAGGATTACGGTTTGAGCTAAGGTTGGGGCACGGAAATATTTACCCTTCTTGGCACTTCGCGCAAAGTTAGTTCTCCTACGTGTGAAGCATACCTATTCCTGTATCCTGTCTCCTGGAGAGGAAAATGCATAGAAGTAATTCCAAGTGAACTTTTTTCGCGCGTAGCCCCGTCAGGTTTCCGCACACAGCCGGGTTCTCGCGTGACTCATCTCCGAATTTCCAATGTTGCCGCCACACTATCAGCTAGGGTTCAATTGCACTTATTGACCGTACCTCTCATTAATGTTAGATAAGGTCTTTGATGTTTGATCCCGTTTGCAGAGACAGTTGCTCAAAACGTTTGGGCATCAATGCCAAACGTAGAACCCACTCGACGACCAACAATGTTGCTGATTTGAGACTTTTGACCTCGAAAATAATCTGAAGTCTGACGCAACTTGATTGTTCGACCGTCAGTTTCGATGAAGTCCACCCTGCGCCTAGGAGCACGGAGGGTGACAATAACAGGGGAAGATTTAAGTGCTCACGAATTGAGGCAAAGGTTCGCATTCCAAGTACATGTATATTTTGAGAAAAAGAAGCTTTGTCGAATATCGGAATCATGGTTTTATTAGTCTGAGCTTTCGGGCTCCTGCAGGAGTCCATCGTCAGAGATGGGGAACAGCAACAAAAGGGGTGGCTGGTTGTGGCGTGTGTACAAAACAACTAAAATTTAAACGTTTATAAAATCAATAATTGTATGCTGTGGACGCCACACTCGCCACTGCTGACTATGTCAGTCTGTGCAAGTAGGCGAGATCGACGTGTTGGGTGGAAATATTTACAGAAATACAATTCTCAACGAAAACAAGCAGCATTTATAGGGTGAAGGGCCAATTAAAAGTCATAGGTGATGGGGGGGGGGAGGAGGGAAAGAGGACCAATTAACCACCAGCGCCGTGAGTCTGGAGATACCTGCGCAGGGCAACATATGCGGGCGCCAGCTCAGTACATCGCTTAACTAAGTTGTCATCTGATGTCCAGGCTTCAATCAGTTTTCGGCCCATCTTGCTGCCAGCGTGGAGAATCATCTTTGCGGCTGCGAAGTTGAATTCGTGACCCGTCTCATAGGTGTGGGCCGCCACTTGCGATAATGTGTCACCCCGTCGAACAGCGAGCTTATGTTCGTGTATCCGCGAACCCAGCTTGCGTTCATTCTGTCCTGTGTAATTTATGGGGCCGTTTAGACATGTTATGCGATACACGACGTCCGACTGCTCATTGGTATTCAATCGATCCTTGATTCTCATGACACGGCTGCGCATTGTAGCCTCGGGACGATGTGCAATTCCGACGCCCCACCCCGCGGCAATGCGTTCGGTCGCTTCAGACACATCCTTGATGTATGGCAGCGCATGCCATATCGTAGGGGTTGTTTCTGTTTGGGTTCTCGGAGGGCGACCACGTATGCATCGGCTTATGAAGGCCTTAGGATAGCTATTCCGCCTAAACTGGTCACGCAGATGTCGGGCCTCACGTGCATTATCTTCC